GGGGTGCATTTTCATAAATAAGTAACAGAAAGAACTGCAGGAAAGATACAATCCTATGGTGACCTTCTTGTAAACATTACTGCTATGAACTCTTTCTTAACACCAAGGTAGATCTTTAGCAGTGTTGTTAGTCAACTTCCTTTTGAAAACCAAATTAATCACCATGGCAGATTGGAAATCAGTGCTCAGCCACATATGCTTGCTGGTATCCCAGATTGCTGGTGGTCCAGATGAACATTCACACATGCAGAGAGGAGGGTAGCACTTGTCCCTCACAGTGCTGCACTTGCCACCAGACATTCTGCAAGTGTGAGAACAAGCCAGGTACTGATGTGCATGTAGAGACTCTTCACGATGGGTGGGAGGGAGTCCTGACAAGCCAAAGATTTCCCTCACATGGGGGAGATATAAGCATATTCATTGTCAGGCACGTTGACCTCCATGTGTTATTTTGAGTACATCGCTAGGAAGATGCACAACTTCCACACATGTTTGCTGATGCACAGAGCCAGCCCACACAGTCTCCTTACATAGGTGGAGGAGAACACATGGGCTGGGTGGATCGCATGGCGGGAGTTTCCCATTTTATTGCACCCTCAAATATCAACAGTCCAGTTAATGTACATCAGCTGAGTTTGTCCAATATGGTTTGCATACAGTTTTCCTAAGGTGAATGTATCTGGGTAATTTTCTTAACCCTTTAGTAGATTGATGGGATGATTGATGGTGGAAATATTCCTTTTCCTCAGACATTTTGATGATATCTTCTGTGAAACAAGGTATACTGTACCATGCTGGAGAGTTACATTGAAAATGCAAGGGGGCAGAACGGTGTAGAATATCTCTCAGTTGAGTTGTAGCAGTTATGCTTCCCCTACCACCTTTGCAAAACTAATACAGACCATGTTCATCACACACTGATGGGTTTGTTCTGTTGTCCACCAACTAACACTCTATTAGTATCATTAGATCAATTATTTAAAATCAGGAGCAACATACTAGATTAAAGCTTTAGACCTCACTGGAACAATTCACTGCTGTTATGAATAACTTTGCTGCTACCCCCTATATAATTATAACAGTAGAAAGTATCTGTCTTCAAGGACAGTTGTCAAAAGGCTTTTTGGAGCAGGAGTTGATTTATGGAAAAACATGAGATTGATGTTAAGTTTAAGATCTTAAACTAGGATCTTAATATTTGAATGATTATTATAACCAATACTCATATATAAAGATTAATTGTCATTTTAAAGCCTCCTTTATACTATCACATATTGGAAAAGTAAGAGATTGTTCCAATAGGTATCAGTTTTTGAGAACTTCTGAACTCACCTACATTTTAACAAGAGCCACATTTCATTGTAGCTCATACTCAATCCCCACTGAAACTTTGTTAAAACCCAGTCATTGTTCCTTGGAGTTCTCCTTCCATGAGCAGATTAATTTTTTTCTCTCCAGTCCATTAGCGTAAGTTCTAGTTTAACAAGGCTTTTCCTTATATGTCAAAACTTTTTTGCATCTAGTCATAATTTGTATACTGTTTGTTACAACAGATAGGCCATGCATATTGTTAAAAATTGCTATAAGAATTAATAAATGAGGTGGAAGTGGAAAAGCCAAAGGGAAGCATGGATATCCATGGAGTGACTCCAGTGTGCAAGGAGCTACTCCATTATCTTTGGTGCTAGATAATATATTTGCTGTCATTATGATTGCAAAAGTTTTTGTGTAACAATATCCACTGTAGAAGTGATCACTCCATTAGAATGTACTGAAGTGCATGCTGCTGTGATATTCTGCACGTGAAAAAATAGGGACAGTGGAGTAACATGATTTCTTCCGTATTCCTGTTGTTTTTTCATCATGTTTGCTGATTGCTTATGTATAACACTACACAAAAAGTAAATTTTTCAGTTTGTTCTGGCTTTATACAGGTAAAAATGACTTACACAAGATACCAGTGTGGGATATAAATAACATTTTCTTAAGAGTGATATAGCTTTACAATATTCAGGAGTGTCTTTATTTGTATTTTAGTTCAAAACATGTTTAGTTCAAAACATTTTTAAGTCCTGTTGAAGACTTCAGAAGAAACACAAATTTGCATATATAATTGTATCACAATGAAAATCTGATGATTTTGTAATATGGGAACTCACATTTCATCAGAGTATTGTTTAAAAATTATATTGTATGATACTGTTCAAAATTGAAACATTGAGGGAGAGAGAGATCTGGGTCAAAACAGACAGAGAATGAGACAGCTTGTAGTGAATGGAAGTAAAATTCACATACTGAGCATGTAATGTGTAGTTGGGAAGTAAAATCTACACAGTGTTCCTCTGAATATAAAACATACTATATAAATCATATATATCCAATGATTCAAAATCTTATGCACATGCCTGATAATATTCCAAGTGTAGTGTACTGCTTTCCACCAAACTACACCTACAAACTTAATTATGCTAATGAAAGAATCCTATTTAACTTAGTAGGACTTGAGAGTAAATATTGTTTGGAGTGTGTCATGAGCTGATTAGCTTTTCTCCCCAAGCCCCATTTCTGTGACTTTTCAAAATAAGTTGTGACTCTGAAAGTTAAATATACTTGTGTATCCTTCACCTTCCTCTCCTGTCTGAGTTAAGCTGTTCGCATTCCATATATTCCAATGTATAGCACATTGGCACTAGCAGATAAATAATGACATGGGCAACATTAGGACATGGACATCTAATAGTTTGTCCGCTATTAATGCAAAGCAGTCAAGTCATTTTCTTCCTGATATGTGACACACAGCTTGTAAATTCTTCCACAATCCACTCTGTCATACAGTACCCAGTACCTTAAGATGGATTCAGCAAGGCAATTTTTCCTCTATGCAATGAAGAGTACAGTAATTTCCAGGAGACAAGTTTAACTGTTTGTTAGATATAGCCACGAACACCGTATCTCGATCTACATTTAGAACATGAGTATTCCTTGTCAATGCTTAGATTCTTTGCTGTCTGGAAAGTGGGCTGAAAGCTCAAAAGTTTTGAGGACAGGATAGCCCAATGGAAGCTAAGAGCAAAGATCAAGGATCAATCCCTTGTGATACTAGGAGCAGAGCTGCATTTCCCCATGAGATGATCTATCAAACAATGAAGGAATTTCAAAAGCAAAAATTACTTTAGAGTAGACCAAAAAAAATTTTATGAGGAAGAGATGTACTACAGTTGTGCATCATCTTAATGCACATTTCTTTACCTTGTCCTTTTCCTATCTCCTCTATGCTGAGGGTTTTAAACCTTGCCTAACAGAAAATTACATGGCAAAGTAGATAGAAATGCTTGGGTTTAGAAGCAGAACAAAGTAAGGAGATGATTAGATGTAATTCATACCTGTTCCAAGGAACAACACTGAGTCAATATATTATGTTCCATGGGCAAAGCTCCATGCACTGCATACTTCTGCTTGGCCCAGATTGGCACAAATCCATGACAGGAACTAAAGCTAAAGACTTCAGCTAAGACACTGTAGAAAGTGGCCTTCTTTGGAGGCACCCCATAGGTAGTATGTCCATACACTGGCTTCCTCATGTAGATTCACACGGGTGGATACCTGGCATTGTAGATAACCCTGCAGTGAGGTTAAAGGTCATGTCCTGCTGTGTAGGATATGGTCTCTCTTAGTCATGTAAATGGTGAGAAAAGTGGCTATGAAGTGACAGGTGTGGAATATGGCCAAACTACAAAACATGTCACCCAGGTTAATTGGCAAGCTTAGGTCTGAGTTATACATAGGCAGAATAGTTTGGAAGACATTTCCACATGGCTGCATCCTTTGTGAAAATAATAAAGATTAGACAACTAAGGCTTCCCATATTAATGATGAGGCATGCTGCTCTGGGAGATAAGGTACGTGCATCACCCCTCTATGTGACTATTTCCTGTCAAATAGCATGTGGGATGGAGTCTGGAATTGTTCTGGTAATATAAATCCATTCTTACGGTGCTGCTATAGCTACATGGTTGAACTTCGAGAAGAGCATAGGCCACATCCATCACTGCATGGTAGCAGGGCACCAGGATGCACTGGCACGCCTGGACTGTGGGAATGACTACCAATGTATGCATAGCTGATCACTGGAATAGACCATGATGCATGTGCCGTTACTGTATGTAGACTGTATTTATCATATTTCCATCCGGCAACAGCAGCATCTTTTCACACTGTTGGCAACACCGCCTCCTACTAATGACTAGGTAAACCATTTATTCCATAGGTGCTAACAGATCTTTCTAAAATAGTCAATCACTCTGTGGAAACACCAATTTCCTTTAATTTAAAAATGTGGTGAATTGAGCTCTGGTTCTGATTTAACCCAAATCTGATCAATATCAGGATATGGACTTTGCTTTTCTTCTTAGGCTATTTTCATTTGTTTCTTCTGCACCCTTTTAATGGAATATGTAGGTCTCTTGAAAGGTAAGGTTAAATGTTTCAAAGCTGGTGTTTGTAATGTAACAAATTACCCCAAATGCAAAACTGTTTATTGTATTTTCCTAATAATGAGGAGAATCTGTGTTTTTTCATTTAATCAAATTCATTCCTCATTCATCTGCAGGAATCAAGAATTAAGAAGTTTAACAGACTAATTTCACAACACACCATAAGCTTTATATTTGAAGAACAAAAGGCCCTTCCTAATGCTTGCATTATTTTTCTTACTTTGCTTCAAAATTGGGAGTTGATTTTTATTGTAATCACCGAGAAGCCATGCAAGGTGGGGGAAATAGACTTCCACTGCTGGAGGCATTCTGCGTTTAAACCATTACTGCACCATATATACATGTCAGTTACATTGTATTAATTTGTTTCCACCATTTGATTGGGTTTACTAAATGACTGTGGGATGCCGCATCCTTTTCAAAAATCTGCATGCACTGTGGGTTTTACATTGCTTGTCTCAGTTATGTGTCAATTACTGTAAAAAGAAAACCTCTTTATTTTTTCAGTGATGCTGATGACCACAAGCCTCTAAAAAAAGGAAGCAGGACACCTTCAGACAGGACTGTGAAAAAGGAGGACAGCGATGATAGTTTAGTTGACTATGGAGAAGGGGTCAATGGTCAGTTCAATGAGGATGGCTCTTTTATTGGACAATACAGTGGTAAAAAAGAGAAAGAACCTGCAGAAGGAAATGAAAGTTCTGAGGCTCCTTCTCCAGTTAATGCAATGAATTCATTTGTCTAGATAAAGAAGCTGTGCCCCATTCCGACAACATTGCCATTATTTTTTCAAGCACTTGTACGTCATCCCCATGTTATGGACATGAAGAAAACCAATGTTTTACCCAGCAAAGTGTTTATGCTCTAAGTACATATAGGTGAAACCGTTACTCTATATAACAACAGTAAGTATGAATCATAATGCAAAACTGGAAACATTTTGCACAGAACTTGCTTTTTTACAAAACTAAAAAGAGCAATGTAAACTAAGCATACTGAAAATACAGTATAATGCATGCAAAGTGCTGCATATATCACAGACAAAGCCAGTTATGCCATTGAAAATGATTTTGATACTTTGTTATGCAGTCCTCAACTGAATCCCTGGATATGAAGTACATTTCATTGTCAGAGTGTTATAGTAGTATTAAATAGAACTTCAATGTCTTTGTGGACATTGTTGTGAAATTGGTGACTTAATGTCTAGCTATCATGATGTCTTTTTGCAAGACAGTTAGGAACAGTATGTACAGTATATGATCAATGACTTTAAGTATGACACCTGCATTTGCTGATGCTTACTGAGATCCTGATACCTGCTCTTTGCTTCTCTTACTTTATAGTCTTTCTAATCTATCGAGTATTACTGCAGTACAGTGTTCTCTTTTTGACATCCAATGTATGTTGTGTTTTTGTTTTGTTTGGGGGGTTTTTTTTAGGGCATACAACAATATACATTGTAATACATTTTGGAATTTGTACAGCTATGGAAGCAAAATTTTCAAATGAGCTAAAAGTTATTCCAGAAACATACAGGGCAGAATACATTCAGTGCCTTTAAGTAATATGCATTCCATATTGTACTGTAGCTGGCTATAACCCACCAGGAACATTTCCCCTGCAAGTTGACGATGAAATGAAAGAATTGCAAAAGGGCTCTTGCACAACTCTAAACCTGTTCATGGGCCACTGAAGGAAATGTTCCCAATGGATTGTGTGCACACCTGGCCAGTACAATAGCAGACGATTCTTGAACTGCTGTCATTGCCAAAGTAATTTAATTCTTTTTAAATTCCCAGATAAGTTGGATTAATTCAGAAGAATTTGTATTTAAGTTACTCAAAGAGCATTAAGATTTCTTTTTTTTTTTTACCTTTTATGGATATAAACTATGGAGAAGCTAATGCAACTTATATTTTCATGGACTTACGCATTACATACAAAAATGGCTTAAATAGTACATTCTGCTAACACAGGAATGCAGTACTTCTCACGATATACTATGACACCATGGTCACAACCGCACATGTCCTTTTCCAGTGGTCCAAGTCCCAGTGAATACGGTGACACAGCTTTAGCAATGTGCTTGGCATGAAGCAGTGTGTAAATTGCTACTTAAGAACTGTAGCTTTCAAGTAATTTGACAAAAGCTAAGTAAATTTAGTCACAAATGACCACTGTCATCAGTTAGAAAATCATATACACAAACTCTGTATCATGTGAATGGTTTACCTCCAAATACAAAATTTTATATAACAACCTATGGTTGAAGGAATGCTCAGTTTCATTTGCCAATAAATTGGTTTTTCATAACTTGCATCAAGTTTAATTTTAAGTAAGCTTTTTTATGTAGATATTTTGTTGAATTTGTACATACACTTAAAGTGTAGATGCTATATGCTTCTAGGTGTTTCAAATTTTAAAAATGCTTTCGTTGTGCTGTGAAAGAAGTACTCTAGCCAATAAAATGCATGGTACTTGAAAGCATCTACCAAAATACATATAATTTAAGATAAAGAGATATTCAGCCTTCTAGCTGCAGTTCTCTGGGTTGTGTTAGTCAACTAAGACTGTACCTGCTGGTATGTAACTTCATTTTTCTTCTTGTGCAACACCTATAGAAACCCTATCTAAATGGATGGCAACAGCAAAACTGATTGCACCCAATATTATCAGAGATTATCTCAGTGCTTCGTATTGGATCACAATACTTTTGCAGCTTTGATACATATGCTGTGTATATAAAGCACAATTTGCAACATTCACTTTGGAGGTGTACTGGCATTTAAGGTTGGAATAAATTAGGTTTTTATAGGTCCTCTTCTTCCCCTACAAAATGCAAAAAACAAGACAGTTATACAGCACTGATTGAAAAAGCACAAATGGGAAAACATTCCCACCAAGATTTACCAACAGTATTGGAGACCAACATAATTTTGCAACAAAATGTAGATGCTAAGTTTATCCATGCATGTGAAAATACATGGAGAAGATTACTTCTGTAATGGTGCAACACATTTTGTATTAAAATAAATGTGGTTTAAAATTTCTGTTGTTGTTCAGTCTGTGTAACATAACACTGTTTGCATAATCACTAATGGCCTTTAAATGTAGTAAAATGAAAACTGAAATTCTAAATAAGGCTAGGATTTGTTGTAGCACATCATTCCAGGGTTCTGTCATCTTTCAAAGACAATTTTTATTACCAGTTATTCACAGCATGAGAAATGCCAAGTGAAAAACTATCACTTGGTATATTTTTCTGTTTATGAAAATTGATTATTGTAAGCTGAGAAGAGAATTTATAAAGGAATCCTGAGATTTGATCATGGATCTAGACCTCTAATTCTCTTGGTTACAGCATGAGAAATGCCACTTGAGAACCAAAGAAGGAATAATGCAAATATTTCTGTTATTGTTTGGATGTTAATTTTAGATCTAATGAGCATTCAACTTTTTACAAGTCAGCCAGTGAAAGGTACCATAGTACTCTCATTAATAAAATGTCAAAGTTTGAAAGACAGCAACATTTTTAAATCATACAACTGCAAGGGGCATGCTGCATCAGACCAAGGGTCCATCTGCAAGAGCGTTCTGTTCACAGAGTGCCCGATCAGTCGCCCATCAGAAACCCACGAGAAGCGCATTAGGGCAGCAGCATCCTCTCATCCAAGTTCCCAGCAACTGCTGTACATATAAGCACACTGCTTTTGATACTGGAGACAGTGTGTAGCCATCAGGACTCGTAGTCATGCGAAATTCTTTCATGAATTTGTCTAATAGCCTTTTAAAGGTATCCAAACCGGTGGTCATCATTATATCTTCTCTGGATGTCATCTGGACAATAAATAAAACTTGGCATAAGATGCAACAGCAGTGGAGATTGAGATCCATGCACCTTGCGCCGGGCACAGGATGGACAACTGCTGTGGCGCAGTAGGAGTGTACCCTAACTACACAATAAGAACATTGGCCTGAACATTATTTCTGCCTAGGGTTGGATACAAGGAAGCTTTAAATTTTACTGAAATTCCAGCACATATCTTAACCTGGATGGCTGTTTAGAATGGTTCAGTCTATTTAATTTGAAGAGAAATGATAATAGACAACATTATTAGCATGTATTGCTGTTATTTTGGAATAGGCTTCTAAACAAACCACACATCTAGAAGATTATGAGCACTGGGCCCACCAACAAAAAAAAATAGTTTCACTCCACTGTTAGCTGCCAAGAGCCTTCTATACTGGCTGCATTTTCCTGGAAACTGCAAATAAAGAACAAAATATGATACTCGTATTGCACTCTTGGTGCTGGCCACTGAAGTCCACTTATCGGGCTGTTGCTATTCCTTGGGACTGCACAGTGGTGAATTTCTTCCTTCCTTCATCATGGTCTCTGCCTCACACATATGGATGCTGCACCTGTGCAGCGCCTGCATTCTGGAAGATTCTTTCAGCTCATTAGAATTTTTGGCGGGAACCTTGCCTTCCCTCCCCCATCGTATAAATAGCCAGGTTCCCGCCCTCTCATCAGTCCACTTTCAACCGCCGTTCGCTGTGCCTCAGGTTTCTCTCACTGCTTTTGCTTTTCCTTCACGAAACTACCATTAGTCATTTTATCTCATTCATCTTCCATGGAGTACATGGAATTATTCAATTGATCCTTGTGGGGTATGCTAGACTGAATACATTAAGTTGTGCAGACCCCATGCAGTGAGCTTCTAGGCCAAATCAGGGGTTAAATTCAGATTTCCCCAACCCAAGTTTACACTGTCCATCACACTGGCATAATGTAGGTGCCATCTGTTTTCTACATTAGCTGTTTGTGTGCCTGAAACAGCCAACAGCTACAAATATGTCCAGGAAAATAGGCATCCAGTTCAGGAATTTAGGTCTGTAGCCAATTAGCTCATATTTTGTGGTTCACTGAAAGGCCCCTCAACTCAGAACGCTTGCTTGTAACTGGGTGATGTGGTGCTTCGAGCAGAATATGTAAAAATGACACAACCCAAGCTTGTGACATGCCTTGGATCTAAGCTTGCACTTGCCAATTTATAGGTCAGTAGTCCATCTTGCTAAACTATCACACCTCATCTGATTCAAAATTGGTCATAGCTATTCAGAGAGCCTAGTCAGGGAGGGCCATGGGAAGATGACAAGCATGGAGAGTGCAACAACATTTTATACAGAAGGTTTAACTTATGTCACTACTGATATAATTGCAGAAGCAAAGATGAGGATGCTCTTTGCAGTACCTGGTCTATAGGAATAAGACATCCCTTCTCATACTGCCTTTATAACTGCACCCATTTAAAATATGATTAATAGAAGTTTTGAGTGAAGGTAATCTGACAGTTTAGCAGAAGTCACCAAACAGCTTTCAGGGCATATTTCTTAGTTTATTAATATTTTTGTCTCAGAAGCAACCTTTATTTGGAACTGGATGAAGAGGACAATGAAATCAATTTTCTGTGAAATATACTGTCAGACAACATTGCCTTTATTGGCTATCTGCATGTCTTTCTCCCTGTCTAAGGGCATTAGGACCCGGTTATATTCAGTGTAATGAGAATGTGCCTCTTGATATTAGCATCCCATTGACTTTTGGTGATAAGAGATGATACAGACAAAATATTACAGAACATAGCTATTGAGAACAGGAAATGTGTTGCACAGAGGAAGATGAAAAAGCTAACAAATGTGCTATTAGCTGCTTCATCTTTTGCATATTGATTTAGTCTTTTATTAGCATATCCAGTGTTCAAATTATTTTGTAGAATCTTATCATTTTGTATAGTATGGCTGTTAACAGGTTATATTTTTTTCAGCATTTGTTGAGTCAAAAGGTCAAGCAGTCTACACAGCAAGAGAGGACAGGAGCATTAGCTGCAGGTCAGAAACTTGCTAAGTTTTTGGGTAGAGGTATATGCTCAAAGTAAGGATAAAAGAGTTAGAA